ATCCAATTGTCTGAATTTTAGAAAGTGTCTGAGGATTAACCCACGGAGCCACCAGGCCGGCCACGCAAAAGACCGGCCATGTAACTCTCTTATTCAGCATAAACCCCAGTCACAACAGACGAGACAATTCCCTCCGTTCGCTCGCTTTTCAAGCATTAAGCCTACTTAGACGCCTTTGTAATGTATTTTTCTAGGGTTTTTTTTGCGACTGGACATGTTTAACTTTTCGAACGAGAGTGAAAAATGAAGTATCAAAATTAGCAGTAGAGTTGGATGAGTCTGTATGTCATGAGTCAGACGTGAAGTCTGAGAGATTAATATGTTATTTTTTATTTTTTAAACACAATTCCTGAAATGTTTCTAAAGACAATTTAGAACAAAAAACGGCATGCGCGATTACATTCATCTAAACATGTTATACTCAGCTGGTGTCTGGGCAGAGTATCCCTTTAGTTCCTTTATACTAGTAGGTGTCACAAAATGATATATTTATATTTTCTTAGGCGTTTGATAAGGTTCCACATAGAATTTTAATCCTTCAAATAAAATATTTAAAAATGAAAAGCAATGCATGTACATAGATTGTGAACTGCACAGCAAACAGAATATTGATAATGATCTAATTCGTTTTGTAATCAATGTAATATCATATCGATCCTTTTATTACTATAAGGGATGCTATTATTTAATATACTATAAGATAAAGTTACTATAGTCAAGAGTGCAGGTGGTAAAAATGCTGTCTGTGAATATCAGACGGCTTGCACTGAACTGCGGAAGCAGTTTGCACCGGGTATTTATGGGTTTAACTAATAATTCTAATCTCTAAGCGATATGCACATTCATTTTGATTAATTGAAAGCAATCAAAACTCTATTTAGTGCTATACAGTACACTGTGTATGCAGGTATAAAGACAGTGTACAGTGTTGGGGTAGCTGTCAATGAGTGATGTACAGTACAGTAATCACAGGTGAGATGGACTATAAGACAGTAGCAGTTTAATTCTTACTGCTTGATCCAAAACTAAAATTAGGAACTCCGAAACTTTTTCTGACGCAATGACGCTAATTCTTAACATTTTACTATTCATGAGCTGAATCCCTGGGGATGAATAAAGTACTTTGAATTGAAAACGAATAGACAAATAGGAAATATTCAATTAAAGTTTGAATAAGGTTACGTCATCAGTGGCTCAGTTACAAGTATGGAGTGGGATTGTACTCCAAATTACTTGCGTCTGAAAGAATGTGTTTTCAAAGCGGGGACGGCCAACTCCAGGATCCAGTCCGTGTTTTAGACATTTCTAATTAAAAGCCAGAAGCCAGGTGTGATTAATCTTGTATGAGGCTTCAATTAGTCTCCTTTAAAAATTGTTCTGACAGATGGATTGCGTCTTTGCCTTTAAATAGCAGCTTTGCAGTAGACGGAAAATAATTCCGCGATATTTCGTTTATATAGCAGAAATCTGGATAAAGAACATCTTTCTATTAAGGTGGGAACAGTTGGCGTCTGAGTTTCAGAGTAATTAAGAAAATGACCTTGCTTTAAAAAAACCGAATTGTTGAATTGCAACTAAACCAATAACTTGACCACTTCGAAAAACGGGTGAAAAGCAACGTACAGTACAATATCTGGTCTTACCATTCAATAGTGCAAGGTATGTTTTAATGCTTGGCCAGAAATGTTGCTCGTGTTTCGATAGTACTCTTATTTAATGCAGATTCTCCTCCCCTGCTTTCCTGTCCTCTACAACCGTCTGAAGTCCGAAGCGCAGAGCTCACGTATAGCGTGTAACTGGGAAGCTGAGCGGCAAAGGTGAGAGAAACCGACTGGTCTGCGCTCTGCTTATCGTGTTATAGTTATAAGAGCTTATCATTCAAGTTATAAGAGCTTTGTACTTTGAAAAATTTCGGAACCGGTTGACGTTTTTTCCTGCGAATAAGCCGCTTACTTCTGCTTTCAAAAAGTGGAGCTACCTTTGTATCGGCTGTGGCGAGAGGCCGAAACTTGTGACTAAAGGTATTAAAATGTGAAACGCTTTCTCTCCTGTGTTCAAGCGGCAGGTGATCCCGGAGAGCAGCCGGACTCACCTCGCGGTCCCAGGTTACCCACCGTCTCTCCGGCTGTGTCCTGAAAGAGCAGCGTTTCCTCTCCCGGGGCTCCAGACTGCGGACCGCCTGAGCAATGTTCAATACTGGCTAATAACGGCTGGATTCGTTACGCCTGTACAGCCGTTTAATTTTTCAATAAACTAATGTATTACAGGATTGTTTCTTAATGACTGAATTTCGAGGGGGGTTCATGTATCTGTAGCGGGGTTACCTCATCTAGGACTAGCGAGTTTCCATGTGCGATCTTCCCATCTCTTTAAAGAGCCTACAGCTGTTTCTCTTGTCGCTGCAGGCTGTTCACGGTGCCCGTCGGTCATGAAGTTAGGTGCTTCATCTTCCTCTTTATGTACTGCACCAGCTTCTTTCCTGCAACTTGACTGTAAAACCCCAGTTGCTTGTATGTGCACAAAAGGATCCTGCCTGTGAACAAGCACCTGCTTACTAACAGAATGATCTTGCATCAAAATTCTGGTAAAATACATTCTCAATCCTGCATTCCTCTATTAGAAAATATTGCTCTTGGCCAAACTATTGTAGGCAGTAATACAGATCTGGAGGAGCAGCTCCAGCCTTAACTGCCTTGAGCTCTACTTGTGGCAGGTGTGTAGTCCTGTTAACATGTAGACTGCTGAGCAGCTAAAGGCAGGAAGGACAAGAGCCTCCAATTTTAATTGTAAAGTGCTCTGTGTAGAAATGGTTAATGTGTTATTGACAAGAACCTGAAAGAGAATGCAAACAACTCAGGGAGCTTAATGTGCTTTCCTGTGGCTGAGCTCACCTTGGAGAAAAATCATCACAGCACTGTATGAGCAAATCAGTCTTCTGAAAGAGAATCACATGGTAAATCAGGAGCTGTGGTGCTAAACACACACCCCATAATCTGCTGTGCAACACTATTCCACATTTAGGTAGATATTTTGAAGACAGACCCAGAACTGAAGCAATTTTACTTTCAAAGATTAACATTTGCATCTTAAAAAGAAGCACCCATGAACTATTCAAACTTAACTATCAGTGACGGAAAAAAAATCAACTTTTAACACTCAAGGAATTAACTTTTAATGTGTATGATGCAGAATCCAACTCAAAAGCTTTTCTCCAAAGCAACATCTATTCTTCACTACTTTAGGGCATATATTTAACATATGTAAATCATTGATCTCCATCCAGTTCTCCAAGAGATCGGTACAGTACCTACAGCATAGACACAACTAGGAAGAAACAGGACTTTACTCAGAAAAAGACAAAGAAGAAGACCATTCTGCGTTTACATACTAAGCCAGTTTACATTTTCTCTTTTTTTACAAAAACAAAACATGAAACATTGAACTACTGTATGAACAGATTATTTTAAATACAAGAGACAGAGGTTCAACAGTTGTTGCTCCAGGTGCAGAGCTGTTACTGAACATGGAGAATCGGCGAAACATCATTTATGTCTCTGCCCGCCAGGGTTGTTTATTAATATTAATTTTAATTAGACGTGTATCAAGTGATACAATGATCCCTGTATTGTTTTCCTAACAATTCAATCTTTTTATATCAACATTTGTTCAAAAACTGGGAGTGAGCAATATTAATCCACTGAAAGAGAAAACCCTGCATCACGACTCCCTATTAATGATGTAAGAAACTGCTGTTAAGAGTGACCTCTTATACAGGTGAAGCTGTAGAATGTGTTGACTGTCCAGGTGTCCTCATGATGCTCCCAGCTCAGGGACTCAGGGTAAAGGCCTGTGACTGCCAGCACTGCTGAGAATTGAGAAATACAATCATTAATCACTGGAAATAAAATCATTTTTCCATCAATAAATATAAAAACAGATTTCACTACCTGACAAGGTTACCTAGAACTAAAACTGCTATATAACAATTTTGTGTGCATTTCATAAATAGGAACTGATACTGAAAATCATTACAAGCCTAAATCTCAGTCTGTTTCATAAAAGTAAAGGTTAATGACCTGCCCAATGTCCCTCTGGATTACTCAGATAGTAACTGGCCTTTGCAGGGTAGTTTTACACTGACCCAGAGCACATACAGTATATACACATACATACAGACACATCTGTTTAACTGCAGATTCAAATACAATTCCCAAAGTTGAAAACAAGTATAAACAGGTTTTCTGTAGTGTCAGGAGCAGGGAGGGGCAGCTGGGGTCAGACGAAAAGTCAGAGAGATTAAAATGTTAGTGTTTTTTATTTTTTTAAACAAAGTGTTTGCAATGACAACTTAAAAAAAATAAACTGCATGAACGATAAACTTAATGTGAACGTTTTGGTGTCAGGGTAGAGTATTCCTGTAATTCCTTTATACCAATACTGTAGGTATGATGCTCTGTATTCAAACATTAATTGTAAAGTAGTGAGTTATGCAAGGTAGAAAAAAAAACATTACCCATTTTGTCTACATCCTTACTGGTTTTGTACAGTAGTTGAGACAACGGTAATACTTAAAAAAATGAAAACATCTGTTTGATGGGGAGAAATAAACTATTAATATGTCTTCCAATGAATTTAAAATTGACACTGCAAGCAAGCAGTGGAGTTGCAGTGCTCTGACTAAAATTCACAGTGCTGGCAAAAAAAGTAAAAAGAAGGTTAAAAAAAATCAACCAATATTGAACAATTTCTAACTCTTAAAAACATCTTCCAGAAGACTGTGCACGATTACAACAAACACACGCTGTTCTGCCAACACAGATGCTAATGTCATACATAGACATGTTTTTATACAAAGAATAACTGGAATTATTCTCAAGTTTGACTTTATATAAAGATTACATTTCAGAGTGTGCACATTAAACTAAATAAGATAACTATTCCTCCTTGAAAATATTCTAGATTGGGACTTTAACAGTATTATATTCACATTAGTCTGAATTAAATTGTGCATGGTTCACTATATTTCTGAGCACTTTTTCTACACCAATGTTTGTAGTATCTGGAACAAGCTGCCCAGCCATGTTGTTGATGCAGGTAGCCTGCCTGTGTTCAAGAAACAGTGGCTGAGCTCCTTGTATCAGTTAGTAGCAGCTGAAAGACCTAGATACTGTAGGTAGAATGGCTTCCTCTTGCTCAACTTTCTTATTTTACTTTTTCTTACATTATATTTCCTATGGCTTCATTTACAGTGTTTGTGAAAGGTGTTGATTCTGCCACAAAGAGAAAAACACTTTAACCATTTCCTTTAACAGTTTTATATGATACTGTACTTCAGACAACGGTAAATTCCAAAAATAAGTAAAATAAATATTTAAAATACAGTTTATTATATAAGTAAAGACAAACCTGTAACTGTCTTCCAATGAACCTAAAAAATGACACTGCAAGCAGGCAGCAGTGGTGACACAGTGCTCCAGGCTGGGTGCTGGCTGTTTTCTGCTGTGCTGGGAGTTGTACAAGTTCCAGGGCTCACTGGGATCAGTGCTCTGATGTGTTTGAATCTAACCTATCAAACCCTGCTGTTGTGTCAGAGCCAGCCGGCAGAGGACATGAGTGAGGTGACTGCTGTGTTGAAGCTGTGACAGAACCCTGTACTGTACAACACGGGGTGTGTCCTGGGAGAGCAGAGATAATCCTACCTGTATTTTGTACTCTTCCACCAGCCAGCAATCCTGACACTTTCCTCTGTCCAAGGGGCCCAAAGTACAGGATGTTTCCACAAGAGAGGAGATCTTCAAGTCTGAAAGCAAAAGACAATGCACATATACTCAATTATACCACTGTGAAGGGACTTGTCATAAGAAATTGATCAGTCACAGATATAGGGATTTATCTACTCACGTAATGTGCTCTGCATGAATCTGTGGACCAGGCCAGGCACAAAAGTAATCTTCCCGGTGAGAGATATTTGTGGGACCCAGCTGGGTCCACACCACCCCAGTCATACCTAGCCAGTTGGGAAAACGGTGTCAGACTGTTTGAAGAAGAAGGTTGGGTTTGAGGCAGTGGAAGAGCAAACTCAAGAGAATAATCTAACAACAGATTTAAACTTGCTATGTTCTGACCAAGTATCATTTACTCAAGTCTAAGCAAAATCTTCACAAGAAGTAACACAATTGCAAACACATCTCAAAAGGGTGTAACACGTATAAAAAAACATTTACAAAGTATTTAATGAAACACTTGCAGAGGTTGTAATCCAGAAATGTTATAACTTATCAACAATGTGATATCAAAATATATATATTATGACATGTTCTGCAGGAATTGTCTCTTGCCATTTTCTATAGAGTCATAATTATATACTTGTAAGAAAATGCACACTATAAGCTTAAATACTCATGATCCAACAAATTGCTAGGTAAATCTTAATTATTTAAGCTGTCAAATCCAACAATGAGAAATACTGTACTTCTCAGATGTAAGGGACATCCTGGACAAAGTGCCTTCAAAAACATAATTCATATGCCTTTATGTGACATGTTTAAAAGCAAATTAGGCAGCAAATAACAAGGGAACATAACTATGTTGCATATAAAACATCTTGAGGGTATTTAATATAGTATACTTCAGGGGTTGGGAGGTGTAACTTGTAGCTTGTAGGTGCTAACAATATATATAGAGTACATTGGAAAAAAGCAGAGAAAGGAGCTGCCAATGTACTAGAATCCAAAGGGAAGCCTGTCAACTACTAGCTCACCAACACCACTTACAGAAGCAACCATTAAAGTTGTTATAATGTGCTCTCCTCTGCAGGAGTCAAAGAATGCACACAGTGGAACCTCATAGTAAAGGAAAGAGTCAAACGTATCCATTTCACAAGATGACGTCCCTGACTAGACAATAGGTATAAATGTCCCAGAGTCTGTGATGTCAGTGAACTAAGAGGCAAGAAATGAGAAGGTACACCCTAATACCGTTCTGATCGCAGCTGCACTGCCAGAGAAACTCAAAAGGAGACTGGAGAAGAAAAAAGTTTGATAAGAGTACACTTGCCAAGTGAGAATTAACATTAGAAAGGTAGAAGCTATATGGAAAGTCACTATGAAAAAGAAATCTGAACACAGAAAAGTTCAAGAAAAGCATTAGGATGAAAAACAGACTTAAAAAAAGAAACTGGAAGCAAAAGTGTGGTTAACTGAAAAACATGACTTTTAGAACTTCTTAAGAAGATAAGCTGTTGCACTCAGTCACTGAAAGCCTTTTATTACGAACTAAACTCAATAACCATACTTATACGTACCTTTGGCTCCAATGGGCTCTAAGGCACTTGATGTCTAGGAGGGGACCAGCTTTATCTCTCACTGAAGTGCAGCAGCAGCTAAATGAGTTATTATCCATTATCACTGGAGCTCCACAGCACATCAGGCAGAGGAGTTCAACTGAGTTACTGGGAAACTCAGGACTGATCTTGAATCTCAAGAGGCCAGACCGATCAGGAGCAATCTTTCTGTGCATCTCAAATGGCCATATAAATCTGTTTTATCTAAACGTAGGATGTCCGTATGATGATGAGATAGACTGTATATGTTAAGGCAGGGACAAAATATGGAGTTTTAGACAATTACAGAATTAACTGAATGAGGAGATTTCCACATCCCCACCAGTCACTTCAATGCTGCAGCTGCTGTGAGTGAGTGTCGGTGTGGATATATAAACCAACGTACTCTATAAGCCACAGACCCGTGTGCTGACCGCACTGGCGATCTTCAGTCTCAGTCCTCCGCAGGCGGGAGGTGAATTCAAAGACTTCCTTAAAAGCTGGAATGCCAGACAAGTGCATTCACGAGAAAGCTGGAAATAAAATAAAGGTTGAACTGTTTTGTAACAGATTTTCAAGCCGCACTGAATAAGAACAGTCGTTAATGTTTTTTTTTTTCCTCCTGGAGTAAATGTGACCTTTTCAGAAGCCTGAATTTCCCAGTCGCCGCCACATGAACTCAAGGGAGACGCATTTACTTTTAATTGCCGTCAGGTGATGTAGCCCACACAGAGCGGTAGTCACGTATACAGTCTCTATATACAGCTCTGGAGACGTCTGGTTACAGAGCTGATGTCTCGCTCCTGTTGGTCAAACCAGGGTACCAGTGAGTTGCCCAACAGACTTGACGAGGCTGTGGAAGCAGAGCGGTGTGAATTCCAGGTTCTGATGAAACACCACCACCAAAACACATTGCAGAGAGAATTTTAATTAGACGTCGATGTGACGTCATTATATCATGACTCCCATTGGCTGGCGAGCTTTGTATTTATATAAGCCCCGCCCCCTCGTAATTGTTCCCGAAGGTTCTCCCATAATGAAGACGTTTGGTTTTATCGATTTTCTCATATTTTTCCCTACTTTTTGATGTATTTTCTTGACAACAGAGCTTCCCACCTTAACAGTGACACATTTGGACGCTTTTAACTTTTTATGAGTGAGTAAAAAGCTATATCTTACAGTTTTTCCTGCTCTGTCGTGCTTGCATGTCGATTTCCCAGATTTCGGCGGAAACACCCCTCAATTGCATCTAAGTAGCTCTTTAACATCAGCGCGCTACTTTGTATTTTAATTTGGCACGCGTTTTTATTTTGGTTTTATGTTTTAAAACAAACAGCAATTTTGCAAGCTAGTACTACTGGCTCAGCCGAGCTGAAGACGCCGTTTTCAATAAAATTGTTGGAATACATTTAAAAAATACAATGTTCGCTCTGTGCCGAATTAAAATAAAGTTCAATTATTGTGCATTATTTCAGGATTATTTGTACTTTGTAAATAAATTTAGTGGATTCACCTTATTTAAGATGTTTTAGTAGGAATTAAGGCAGTAGATAGTAGGTCAGTTAACTTTACTACAAACGTTAATTTAAATACTATTTAATACCTAGTAATTTTCAGGGGTGGTCTCTAGTTTGCTTGATTTTACATACACCACCTTATGGATAATGCAACACAACACCCACGTATTAAATATGAAGCGGTCTTTAGCAATATTGACCACACCCTTCATGAATATTTAGATTTCCGAATCCCCCCACAACCCAAATGTTTTATTTTCATGGATTTTGTTAATAAATGTTACTAGGAGAATGGAAAAAAAGACGTTAGGATTTTTTATTAAGAGTTGTGGTGTACAAACCAAAGACTGTTGCAATGCACAGCAAAGCGTACAAACCAGAACTGGTCACAGGAGAAAAACAGTTGTCGGGCACATTTCAGAATCGTTTCGTGATCGTTTCGTCTCTGTCCCACTGCAGGGGGGTTCAGCTTGGAGTGCGCTCTGTCCCGGCGGCAGGAGAGGAGACCGGGAGTCCTGGAAAAATAAAGACAGGTAAGAGCGTCACACTGGGGAGACGGACAAGCCCTGGGGTCCCAGTAAATTGGAGCAGAGAACATGGTTTAGGATTTCCAGACTGTTATGGAGAGGAATTTGTTAGTACAGCCGTAGTTCGCTCGGCAACTGAATTGTGAAGATCATAATCGCGCAGAACGAGGGGTTATAAACACTTCATCAAGCATCCACGGACGCGAAAACTGAAGTGAAAGCACATACATGTGCTTCTAACTGGAAAGCAAAATTTAAGTTTAACTTAATCCTCCGTTTGTTACTATTAAAAAAAACTTTATTTATTTATAGTAAAAATGTTATTTATACAACTAAACTATTTATTTATAGTATATTTAAACTTAATTTATAGCATACTGTTTATTTACATTATAAAAGTTATTTATTTGTAGTAACTACTGTTACTATTTAAATCAAAGTCAATGGTAATGGACTTAAGATTTCATATTCCGCTGTTGGAGCAATATATATATATACACACACACATTATACATTGTAAAGATTTATCACTTAACAAGCGTCAGTGTATTTAGCGATATCGAGCAATTAATTCATTCTGCATGACGAAGAGACAGGTGTGTTCATGTCGCGCTGCAGGGCTGAACGCGACGTGGTATTCACCCGCTTCGTGGTGTGGAAGGATTGGCTCTGTGGTTTTTGATATGTTACGCTATAAAGAATTAGGATGAAATCGTGTTGCACTAAACGACGCATAGCTCTACAATACGAAAGTGACACTTGTCCCAGTGCGCTGTTGGGCTGCTGAGCCCTACATGACAAAGGTAATATTAAAACACTAATAAATGTTCCATACTAGTCATAAGGAAAAATTGTGCTTTATTTGTTTTATTCCCTTTGCAGGCATGAAACTTGTATTGTGATAAATAAGTATAAAGCACACTTTACTGTTATTCAAGCATACTGTATTAGCATAAAATGCATATAATGTACATTACAATAAAATATGTTGCATTTTTCAGTATCACAAATGCAAATTGCTTAACTGTAGTTTGAACTGTTCCAGTCCTCAGTAATCCGCTTAAGCACAAGTGTATTAATTCCAAGGTTAGTAATAGAATTTTATGTTTTTCAATTTAACAAGATGGATATTAGCAACAACTTAGTTATCTATACATGTCAAATGAAAAACATGCATTTTCAGTTTGGTCCCATAATATCCATACACTTTGACAGGAGGTGTTTCATGAAGTCAATCAAATGAGTGATTAATTCATGAGAATTCTTTACGCTATTTAAAACAGGTTGTTGGTTTTCATTAGTAAAAGGAGCATTCTGTAGGAAAACACTTAGTTAATGCAACTCAAGTGGAGAGGAGTCAGTCTGCTAGCTGCGAAGGAACATGTAGAGGTAAATTCCATGCTGAAATGTAACAAAATTAAACAGGTTTTGGCTGTGGAGAATTTTTCAGGTTTGTGGAGCAAGATATCAGACGCTAAAATGATCCTCAACTGTAGAAATGTGGTAGACACATCAAAAACACTTTCCCTGCAGCTGTCTAGTTTCCCCAAACAAATACTGCCGTGTGGCGAGGTTGCTGTCGGTAAGCAGGAGACTGGCAGGAACCAGCAACAGCATCACTGAAGATGATGTTAATTAGTGATATAAAAGCCATGAAATGTAAAAATAGTGCTGCTGATTTTGCACGTCATCTTCTTTGACTGTGATGTGACACTCATGCTTTGTCAAGTTAATCTGTTTAATGCAGGTACAGTAGTTGCTTTCAGTCTCAGTGCAACTTTAAAGTCCTGGTCTTTGTCTCAAAGTGTCATTTTACTGGAATGCGATGCCGAGCCTGCACACATCCATGGAGACTCCACAGCCAAAACGCTTCCTTTGACCTTTTAACATGGGGTTAACTTCCACTTGTTCCTTATTCATATTCCACAAACGTGTTGCCTTGAAGTAAAGCACAAAAGAGCATGAATGGTAAGCTGTGTTGTGGTTCAAGTGTAAACCTGTCCTGTCTCAGAGTATCATTTTGACCATTTGGGAAATCCAAACTGGGATCAAAGCTGCTCTTAGCCCCTCCCGTCCACTCCTATGGGAAGTTGAGTAGTTTTATACTAAAGTTACATTCAGAAAATAAGTGAATTTGTATCAAACAGGGTTGTGCAAAGTGAAGCATGTTATACAATACTGAAGTCACATCAGTTCCAGGGTATTGTACTGTTCATTAGCCTAATATCAAAAACTACTCTTAGCTTTTGTAAAAGCTATTTTGTAAAATTATTCTGAGAAAACTCAACTGATTCATAACAATATCCAAAAATGTATGGTGTAATTCTATGCATGCATTTGATCATATTAATATTTTTCTTCTTTGGTCGCAAACCAAAGAGCTCTTGGAACCATGAGTTTTGAAACATTTTTTTTCAATGAATTTCAGTGTGAACTAGTTTATGGTTGCGTATCCCATTGAAGCAAAAACGGCATTAAGTCTATGATCCATCGAGCTTACCAAAGTTTGTTAAAAATGTAACTCTGCTTGACTTTTGTCGATTTAAGATGTTAAAAATTAAGCCCTGGCTGTATGTTTTAGGGTCGCTATCGAGGTGCCTTTCGAGATGCCATCCAAAAAACATGTAAATATTTGTGTCTACAAATCATTTTGTCTGCCTGTGTAAACTTTATAGTACCAATATATCCAAGAATAATAGAGAGGAAGTTCTTGGTGACCGCAATGAACTTCATGCAGTTCTTGCCTTACATGTTAAGTATTTGGTTGCACATCCCTGTGTCTCAATACTCATATTTCTTTCAATTTCCTGGGTTGAATACACAATGTAATTTTTCTGAGATGATCAAATGTATGCATGGAATTACCCAAAAGTAAAATGTAGGGTACACGGTATTAATCTCTTGATCACAAATACAGATTGCTTGATGATAAAGAGAATAGTTTAGACTTGGCTGGCACAGGACTTTTGCAGGACACTGTATAGTGCTCTGTTAGCCCCTTCTCTCAGGCCTGTTCATTTCCGGGCAAAAGAGGAAATCAGCTTATGACAAAACTCATTTTTACATATAGCCTCCAGATGAGGTTTCTCAGCTGAACAATACACTCTGACAGGAGAGGTTTGATGGACAGGGCCAATCAAAATAATGTATTTGTGCCATAATGTAAGAATTCTTTCTGCTGTTTATACCTTAAGAAAAATGATCGTGAGTCATGAGCGAAGGGTGATTAGCTAAAGAATTTGAGCACTTATGTTATTGCGGTTAGTGTCAAACAGCCTCAGCATGTTAAGGTAACCATGCTGAACAGATTGCTGTGGAGCATGCTTCATAGATACAGTAGATTCTCTTTGTCTTTTCAGCATGGGGGTTAACATCCACTTGTTCCCTATTTTTACAAAGGGTGTGATTGTTTGTTAAAGAGCATGAATGGTTATTTTATGTCTCTATTTGCAGCCTCCCCAGTCCACTCCATCATAGTTAAATTAAAACCAGCTCCATTGAATTGTCAGAATTAATGGTAATTAATGGCTCGGTTGCATCACATGACTGCAGTGGAGAGCACTGGAAAGTCAGCGTGAGTATCTTGGACTTAACAAGCTTTTGAAATGAGGTGTTGCCTCGCACAATTTAAGAACACGTGGGACATATGAAGATTAATAAAGTGTCCCATTGAAACAGTGCGATATTTCGAACGGGCTGTTTGGAAGTTTGCGCGTTAAAAGCTGGGCACTGCCAATTCCGAGATCCGCACCCGTTGGGCGTTTCTTAATTGTTAGACAGGTGTTGAGCATCTACCATTAGATTTGAATAAATTGCCGTTCATCATTATTAGCTAAACGGGAGCTCTTTAAAATAGCGAGTTTGCAAACACAGGAAAGTTCAGGAAGAAACAAGGTGTCAAAAGTGAGCCTATAGCTTTTGTGCTTGATAAATTAAAACTTGCAACTTACCCATTTTAGCTGTACAATATTCATTTACTCGGTTCATTTAGGGGCTCCAGTCTCTGGGCTTTAAAAGGCGGCTGTAGGAAATTCCACGGCTTGGGGGACCGGAGCGGAGACCGACCCGTGTGCCGAGGTGAGTCCGAGTCTCTTCTTCCTGGA